TCCCACATGCTGCAACTAAGAGTTCACATGCTGCAACTAAAAATCCTGAGTGCTGAAACTAAGACCCAGCCCAGCCAATTAAAATAAATAATCATTTTTTTAAGTCAAAAATCTGTGCTCTTTGGCCCTTTACCAAAAAAACCCGTTGGCCTCTGAATTAGGGAAGGCCTCACCCTGCCCTCTGCATGATGATCTCTGTTTGGGCTGATAGAGGAGATTCATGTTTTGAGTAGGAGGCTGTCTGTCAGAGGCGGCGTGTGGGTGTCTCTCCAATCTGATGGGCTGGACATGTTCAGGGTGAGAGTGGGTTGAGGTCTCAGCAGTGCTGACTCAGGACCCGGGTCATTTTTCACTCCTGCCCTCAGGCTGTCATTGGCCACTGGGCAGCTGCAGACCCCAGCAGAGAACCACTGGTTCCCTTGGTCCACCAGGCCCTGGGCAGCTCAGGAGGAAAAGACAGAACTTGTTCCCAGCACACCAAGAATTTCCGGCCCCTTGCCCCAGAATAACAGCAGCCGGAGCCTGGGGGCAGGAGGTAAATTCCAGAAGGGTGAGAGCCGTTGTAACGTGAGCTCAGCTGTGACCTGGTGTACTCAGGGGCTCCGGATCTCCGCCATCCCACCTCCCCCTTCTTCAGTCATCCTGGGGACCCGCCCTCCCATCGTGGGAAAACAACAGTGGGTGTGGACACCCCCTGTTAGGAACAACAGCGGTCTCCTTATTTGGTCCCTTTTCTTGCTCCTGAGGTCTCCTGGGTTCTCCTCCATGGACTGTGCCCCCAGCTGCTTTCCCAGACCTGGGAGGGGCTGTGAGCAAGGGAGGGTTTGTCCTGGGCAGACTCCATCCCCATGGGGAAGTGTGCACCCCCACTCACGTGCAGGGAGCTCCAAACAGCAAATAAACAAGTACGAATGCGCACAGCCCCATTCCTCCTCGCCGCCTCGTAAAGGTGTGCCGGCCCGCGCTGTGCCCGTGGGCACTGAATACAGTCGGCCAAGGCTGGCCCCAGTGTCTGCTGAGCTATCAGAATGCTCAGAACCCCCAGCTGCAAGCTGGCTTCTTGGGACGATGGCCCTGGCGCCCAGCCCTCTTACTCTGGTGGGCTGCTGCCCTGGTGATTGATTTTTTAAAAATGTGCTCTGTGCTGACTCCACTCCGTTCTGTAGCATCTCCTTCCTGGCACCAGGGCTCCTTCCTGCAAGCTGGTCTGGCCAGAGAGCAGGGGAGAAGCATATGTCTCATACGTGGGGGCTCAGAGGGGGAAGGGAGGAGCCAGCCAACCACCTGGAGCCACNGTGATCAAACCTTTGATATTTGCCAGTCAGCTTGGTGGAACATGGGACCTGGGTACAGTTTTCATGTGACTCTTGTTCTCAGTGTGGTTGAGCATCTTTTCGGCGTCCAGCTCTGCTGCTAGCCTCAGTACCTCGCCCTGCGCAGCCTAAGGCCTTGGCCTTGCTCGCTATCCCTTCTGCAAGATCCAGGACTTGGTTTGTTTTCTGTCGGCCAGCTTCCTGCTGAGTCACTCACGAGAAGGAAAGGGCAGCCGGCTCAGGTTATTCTGCTCTGGGAGCCATCTGAGCTGCCAGTCCTGGGAGGACCTCAGGCTCTGGTATTACTGTGGGCGCCCAGCACCATGCACTGGATTATTGCACCTGGCAAACTGCAGACCCCTGGGTCCCCTGGGAGAGATGGGGTTTGTAGGTGGGGGTCAGGTCAGATGTGTGTGCCGACTGGGCATGCAGCGGACCAGCTAGATTCAGAAAGGGGACGTCTGGAAGGAACTAATGAGAGCAAAGTCCTAAGTTACAAGTGGCAGAATGAGAGGAACCATGCTGAGAGTACAGAGGGAAGGACTTAAGTTGTGGAAAGGATTTGGGGCAGAAAGGGTGGTGAGCCATGGTGAAGGAAGTGGGGGGATGTTGGGAAAAGATTCTCACTTGAAATCTCTAAATGGGGACCTCCCTGGTGGCCCAGTGGTTAAGACTCCAGGCTTCCACGTCAGGGAGTGCAGGTTCCATCACTGGTCGAGGAACTAAGATTTTGCATGCTGTGTGGCCAAGAATGAAAAAAAAAAAAAGGAATGAAATCTCTATAGATGCATCTTGAATGAGACCCACTCACCACTGGTTCCTCAGCGAATCACCGCTGCAGGGTTAGTGCTGAGATCTGCCCAGATGGGAAGCGGGGGTGCCCCCGTGGAGGGGGCACATGGAGGATTCAGGGCTCTTGTGCGGCCACCTATACGTGTGGGGAGGCCCAGAGACCTTCGCTGACCCTCTCTGAGTGGGTTCTGGGCATCTGTGGGACAGCCCAGGTCAGCTTGTTGTCATTAGCTCAGCTTGTAAAGAATCCTCCTGCAATGCAGGAGAATCCTGGGTTTGATTCCTGGGTTGGGAAGATCCCCTGGAGAGGGGATAGGCTACCCACTCCAGTATTCTGGCCTGGAGAATCCCCACGGACAGAGGAGCCTGGCGGGCTGCAGGCGGTGGGGTCACAAAGAGTCGGACACGACTGAGCGACCAAGCAACCTCCAAGACAGCCTGTGCGTTTGGTTGGATTTTTGCTCAGACTGGAAAAACCAGCAGGAGCCAGTGGCTAGATTGCTGGGCCCTGGGGAGTCTGCCACTGTTTCTTCCAGGCTTCAATCAAAAGCAAATTTGCCCTGGAAATTGCTGAGGCAGAGGCATCTTCCTGGAGCTGTCTGAACAAGGGACTGCCGTGTTAAGTCTATGCCCTCCAGGGCATCCTGATTCCAGCCGGAGCTGGGCTGTGGCATTCATGAGCCACCACCCGGGCCTGCCCGGGGCCTGCTGGACCTGTTCTAGGTGGCTTGACCATCCATAATCCAGCCCGTCCTCTCTCTGCTGAGGCTGCAGACCCAGAGCTGTACTCTAGGTGTGGACAGCTGGCTGGGGCTCTCGATCCTGGTGCCCATTCCAGTCCCTTCCCAGGCTCCCCACGTGGCTGCTTCAGACAAGAGGATGGGTTCTTCACACCGGAGACCGCCACGGGCGCAGGAGAGGGCCCTCCCGGCAGGCGGGCAGGGCGGGGCTGCCTTTCTGCCAAGACTCCTCGGAGTCTTCTGCACGCCACATCACTAAGCAGAGCCTTCAAGAGCTGCAGTTACAGAGGCTCTCCTCCCCCATGCCTCAGCCTTCCCGGGGGGAAAGTCCAAAAAAGTTGAGGCTGTCCCTGAGGCCACCAAGAAGCGCTTAATTGCTTTCCGAGAGAGTTGTCACCTCTGTCTGGTCTCCTCCCTTCCCCCCATCAGCCTGGGCCGCCTCTGCTCCCAGCGCTGGCAGCTCCGGCTCAGAGAGCTGAGCCTGAAGATGTGTGTTCCTGGCTGTGTCCCAGGGCACCGGCGGCCTGGGTGCTCACTTCTCCAAATATATTGCTGCACCACCTTTGCTGAAAAAAAGAGCCCTATGTTTTGGAGGAATAAATGTGCATTTTTCTGTGAGCCAGGCACTCATCGACAGCGGATGGACGGTGGCCCAGGCCAGCTGAGTCAGCCAGACTCTGGAGCAAGCAGACAGCATAAACCAGGATGGGGACTGGAGCCAGCCAAGGGCAGTGAAATGCAGGGAATGTTTGGAGGTTTTCATACCAGGAGTTTAGTCAGCACCTTGTGCAATCTGATTCAGGTCGAGGGCCAAGTAGAGGGATACATATCATAAAAAGTGGGCTAAAAAGCAGTGACAAATAGACCCCGAAAGCATAATGGTCTCAATATCTTAGAACTTTATTTCTTACTCTTTTAACACACCAAGGTAGGGATTCTTGATTGGCCAGTGGCTTTTCTCCATACGGTGATCCAGGGACCCAGGCTCTCTCCATCTCAAGGCTCCGCTGTTCTGTCACCTCCATCCGGCTGGCCGAAGAGAAGATGGATGGGGGAGGCACACCTGCTTCTTTCCCTGCCTCCTAAGGCATTGGTGCACATCTCTTTGGCTCACATACTATTGGTGGGAACTAGTCACATGACCACACCTTGTTGCAAGGGCAGCTGGGAAATGTAGTCTCAGCTCCTTAGCGACAGCTCTATACTATGAAAGGGGAGCAGGGATTTTGATGAACAGCTCACCGTCTGTGCCAAAGAATGAAATCAAGTCACATAGATCATGGGACCAACAGAGAAAGCAATCCATTCTGAGCTTTAAGGAACCCTCTGGAAGAACACTCTGGGTCCTGGATCAGGGAGCCCTAGATAACTTGCTGGAAGGGATTTAGCTTTTGTCAAGGACTGAGTGATCCAACAGTTTAGGCAGAAATACAGGAAAAGTTAACAGAGAAGCAAACATACAAGAAACATGGATAATTAGGCCTAAGAAGCTGTACTATTCACCTGCAGTTAGCCTATTGATAAGTGGTTTGTGCCCTAACTTCCTAGTCGGGTGATTGGAGCTTGGAGCCTCTGAGTGCTTGCACTCTCAGTTGCTTTAGTCCTGTTGGACTCTTTGTGACCCCATGGACTGCAGCCCACCAGGCTCCTTTGTCCATGGGGGTTCTCCAGACAGAATTACTGGAGTGGGTTGCCGTTCCCTTCTCCAGGGGATCTTCCCCACCCAGGGGTCAAACCCTGGTCTCCTGTGTCTCCTGCACTGATGGTGGACTCTTTACCCACTGCATCAGCTGGGAAGCCTGGGGCTTCTGGCAGAGGCTAATAGACAAAGATTTGGATGCCTCGGTGTGGAGGAGGGACATAAACGGAGGGTAGGAGGAGCCTGCCACCTCCAGGTTGTGAGTGAGTCAGAATCACGCCTTTTCCTTCTCACTTGGGTCAACATGCATGATGACCAGAACCCTTCACTGTGTAGGCACAATAGTTCCCTACTGCCAAGGAACAAGTCACCACAAGCTTAGAGGCTTAACAAGCCTGATCTATTAGCTCCCTGCTTTGTAGGCCAGAGGTCTGGGATGGGCTTGACTGGGTCCATGCTTAAGAACTGAAGGCCAAAATCAAGGAGGTGGCCGGGCTGAGCTCTTACTTAAGGTTCTGGGGAAGAATTTGCTCCCAAGTTTATTTAGGTTGTTGGCAGAACCAGTTCCCTGCGGCTGTAGGACTGAGGCCTCTGTGCTCTTGCTGGCTGCTGGCTGCTCTCCATTCCTGGAAGTGAAGTGAGGGAAAGTGAAGTCGCTCAGTCGTGTCCAACTCTTTGTGACCCCATGGACTGTAGCCTACCAGGCTCCTCTGTCCATGGGATTCTCCAGGCAGAAGCATACTGGAGTGGGTTGCCATTTGGAGGCAGCTCTCAAATCCTTTTTCTGCAGCCCCCACCCCCTGGCGACCCTGCCCCCTCCTTCAAAGCCACTGACGGTGCATCAAATCCTTCTTGTGCTCAGAATCGCTGACTCTCCTTTTGCCATCAGAGAAACTCTGCTTTTAAAGGGCTCTTTCCGTTTAGGTCAGGCCCATCCAGAGAACCACTCTATTTGAAGGTCTGTTGATTAGTAAAGTTATTCCATTGTGAATCCCTTTTGCCATTTAATGAAAAAAATAATCTTAGGGGCTTCTCAGGTGGTGTATGGTAAAGAATCCACTTGTCAATGCAGGATACACAGGAGACGTGGGTTTGATCCCTGGGTCGGGAAGATCCCCTGGAGAAGGAAGCAGCAACGCACTCCAGTATTCCTGCCTGAGAATCCCATGGACAGAAGAGACAGGCGGGCTATAGTCCATGAAGTCTCAGAGTCAGACATGACTGAGAAACTGAGCACGCAATCACAGGGGCAATTCTCAGGGCGCATCTTAGAATTCTGCCTTTCCCAATGCCTGGGACTGTGAGTCTGAGACCCAGAGTGGTGTCCTTTGAAGCTAAAGAGACTCTTTTGTCTTCTGGCCGAAGAGTTGTCCCACTTGGTTCCACCTCGTGTGGGTGGGTGACCAACAGCCCTGGCCCCAACTCTTACCAGATACACTCTGGAGATCTACAAATAGAGAAAAACAGGCATTCCTCTCCCTCGGAGAAAACTCCTTTCTCTGAAAGCCTCATGGACACAGGACTCCCCTAAGAAGCTCAACACTGCACTGAGCACTCTGTCCCCGAGAGAAAGAAAGCCAGGCCTTGTCTGTTGGTTGGCTCCTGGCTTCCTTGAGGGTCTGCCCTTAACAAGCTCCCAGAACTTTCTGTACCATGTTTCTAGCTCCTTTCAATGCTTGTTCCTTGTAGCAAGGCCAGGTGGGGAGCCTCCCTCCACCCCCTTCTGGGGCCTTCTCCCCTTCAGCTATTCAGGAATGTAGGTGCCTGCAGCAAAAACCACTAAAGATGTTTTCTTAGCTGCAGGCCTGCCCACTGGGGCCCCTCGATGCAGAAGGACCCTTTGTGCAGATTCCCCCTCCTCCTCGCCCAGGAGCTGGCACCTCAGCCCCGCCGCGGCTTCGACCTTGCTTTCCCCTCCTGTGGGTGAGTTTCAGGGCCTGGAGGACTGGGAGGGGTCCCTGTGCTGCTGGCGAAACAGCTGATCCAGAGCTCCCACCAGGGGCCCTCTGCCCCGCCTGCAGCCCTTCCTTTCCCCTGGAGCCCCACGGAGGGCAGCCAGTGGCAGGCAGGCAGCAAGGGGTGGGGACGATAAAGGCCCAGGTCGTCCCCCCAGTTCAAGGGGACCCAGAATCTCTCTGCAGAGCCGCTGGACAGCACTGCATAGCAAGGGAGCTAAGACTGGTGTGCACGCAGGTGCCGTCGGCTCCGCTCAGAACTTCGAAGCTAAAAGGAAGCTCTCCGATTGGCCAGACTGCCTGTTATCACTCAGGTGCTTGGTACCAATTTAATGGAGAATAACATCCATGTGTCAGGCAGTGAGTAGGTGAATCTGAAAGCTTGGCCGGAGCATGGCTGGGAGGGGGGCAGGGGCAGAGACAGGCTGAGAGCCTGGGAGCTGGTACCTCAAAGGGCGGGATCCTGCCCGAGGCAATAGGAAGTCGCCAGAGGGCTTTGTGTGGGCTTCCCCGGGGGCACTAGCGGTAAAGAACCCGCAGCAGATGTAAGAGACATGGGTTCCACCTCTGGGTCTGAAACATCCCCTGGAGAAGGCCATGGCAATTCACTCCAGTATTCTTGCCTGGAGAATCCCGTGGACAGAGGAGCCTGGTGGTCTACAGTCCATAGCGTCAGAGTCAGGCACGACTGAAGCAACTGAGCATGCATCCATTCTTTTCCACTATGGCTTATCCCAGAATATTGAATATACACTAGGATCCTGTTGTTTAACCACTCTATATGTCATAATTTGCATCTCCCAATCCCAACCTCCCTCTCCATCCCTCCCCTACCTGCCTCCCCCCTTGGCAACCACACGTCTTTGCTCTGCGTCTGTGAGTCTGTTTCCGCTTTGAAGATAAGCTCATCTGTGTCATATTTCAGATTCCACATATGAGTGATATCATATGGTGTTTGTCTTTCTGACTTACTTCCCTTGGTGTGATCATCTCTAGCTGCTTTTCTCGTCCCTGAGTTTTTCAGGGAACCAAGCCCTCTGGTGGATGCCTTTCTGGGGAAAAGAAGAAAGAGAGAGGCTGACGGAGGCAGAGCCAGTGAAGCGCCTCACAGCGGTGTGCAGGTCCTGCCCACTGCCTTTCTCCTGCAGTGAGTTTCGTCCACACGGCATCAGAAGGGCCGTGAGTGGCGGTGGCGAGGGGCCAGTCACCTCCCCAGCCCTGGCTCAGGCTCCCGATGCCCAACCTTTGTGTGTACTGAGTGGGCTGGCTGGACGCTCAGGTCTTTATCAGTTGTGACCACACCCTCCTGTAAGGCCCCGGGGAGAAAGCAGAACCAAGGACTAGGAAAGATCAACAGCCATGCTTTTTGGTTCTTCTAGGTGCAGCCCTTCCAACCTGAGGTCATAGAGGAACTGAGGCTGCAGGGGGTGGGGCGGGAACCCCATGGGTCCAGGGACACTGCACCCACATCCGAATGTGGTTTCTCCCAGGACCAAGCAGCCACCGACATCCACCGGACCAGCATCACCCAGGGGATCTCGCCTTCGTCCTGGCCTCTCTTGGCCTCAGAGGAATCCAGATCACAGTTGGCAGCATTAGATTGCTCAGGCCAACCGCTCCCTTCAGAGATACACAAACTAGGGCGTTTGGAATCTCAGAGCAAATACAGAACACGCTGGCAGCCAGATCACCTGACGCCCCCGCCTCCACCCTGGGGTGGGGGTTGTCTGACCACCCCATCACCTGACCTTAGGTCACCGCCCTCCCCTGCAGTGTGGTTCTCTTCTTTGGAAATCTCGTTTACTGTGTAACATAATATAATCACGGTTAACTCCCGAGGACGAGATCACGTGGCCACCTGGGAATTCCACCTTCAACAGGGCTGGAGGCTCCCATCCCCCTCACCTGGACTGACCCCCAGGCCAGCTCCTGGGAGGAAGTGTCCTTCTCAGCTCTTGACTGCCCCTAATTACTCAGCGAGGTTGGACCAGATCTCCCAATACATCGATTACAACAGGGTGGTGGACGCAGTGGGCGGACGGCTTTTGTCTCCCAGAGGCAAGTTCCCTCCCACCCAGCTGGCCCAGACCCGCATGTCTCAGCCTGTGGTTTCAGCTTCCAAGCCCGGAGTACGGAGACGCCCGTGGGATGCCAGTGGGATGCCGAGAGGGAAGATGGTCAAACGCCTGACAGCTCTAACTGCAGGTGCCTTTCCGGCCAGGATCCCCCAGCATCTCATTCTGTTCTGTTATTTTATTTGGCCATGTCACGTTGCCTGTGGGATCTCAGTTTCCTGACGAGATACTGAACCTGGGCCACCGCAGTGAAAGCCCAGAATCGTAACCACTGGGCCACCAGGGAGCTACCCACCCCCACCACACACACACTTTCTTTTTGCATTTCTACCTGGTTCCCTCAAACTTTACTATGACTTAACTTTAATAAATATTTATTGAGAGCAAGCTCAATGTACTGGCACAGGGGCTGGAGGCTAGGGGTCTGGACCCTTGCCTTCAGAAGACTGAAATGAAAAGAAATATAAGCTCAAAACCAGTGGCTTCCTGTCCAGGTTCTGAAACGTACTGACCCTATGACTTCTGCAAGTAATTAGCCTTTTCAATTCCTCGTTTGCTTGCCTGAAAAACGGGTGATGCTCATGGGTTGTTGTTGAGACACTAAATATACAGATGGATCATGGCCAGGGCATCTATAAAAATAGATCTCTGACCCGCAATCCGCAGCAACCATGCCAGGAAGCCGGCCTGCTAGCCGTAAGTCAGACTTGTAGGAAATAAGACCGCTATCCCGAACAAGTGGTCCAGAAAGCCAAACAGTAACCCCTGTAGCAATCATCCCACGTGGGCAGGGCTTGATTAATGATTGACAGCTGCCCTAGCTCGCATCCCTGCTTCCAGCTTAGCACCAATCAGAGAAAACCAGGTATGCACTTCTAACCTCTCACATAGGACACTCTACTTTTTAAAAAACATTAATTTATTTATTCTTGGCCATGTCATGTGACATGTGGGATCTTAGTTCTCTAACTAGGAATCGAACCTGTGCCCCTTGCCTTGGAAGCTCAGAATCTTAACCCACTGGACCACCACGGAAGTCCACACTCTACTTCTATTATTGTTTTCATTTTATTGATGCTAATTATTAATATTGTTAAATATATTGATATTTATTAATATACACTGATTTAAACAATATTAATAAATAGTTTTTTTTTTTTTTGCCACACCATGGGGTTTACAGGATCTTCGTTTTCTGACCAGGAGTTGAACCTGGGCCCCCTGCATCAGGAGCGCAGAGTCTTAGTCACTGGACCATCAGTGAAGTCCTGGGATGTTCCTAATTGGAATTATGTCACAACACAGGCAAACATCCTCCTGTCTCCCTGTGCAGCCTCTTCCGCAACCTCCCTTCCCTCTGGAAGGGCTCCAGGGGCCACTCCAGGCTCCCTCTCTCTGTCCCCGGGTCTCCTCCAAACTCAGCATACCCTGCAGGGGCATCTGGGCCCTCCTTCCTGGACTCACCTTTTCTATGATGCTTGGACCCTCCCAATGGTCTCCTAAGGGGTCTCCAGCCTCATCGACCCCTCGTCTATAATGCAGTTGGAGGGATCCTTCCGGAACGTGATCTTAAGAGCCATCGGAAGAAACTCAGCCTCCAAGAGAGGCCTCCAAGCCGGCACCGCCCACTTTCCCCCCTTCATTCATTTCCCACTGGCGTTGGCCCCTGCCCCGCCCACCAGGCTTGGGCAAAGTGCTGTCTGTTCTTCCCTGACTCCAAGAGCGAGAAGAAAGCAAAGCGATGTGTGCTGTCTGCGTCCCTCCTGGATCTGAGCTCCACGCTCACTCAAGCTCCTCCCTGAGCCGTGCGCAAGCGTGCGATGCACTGAACCCAGGGATGGACAGACAGGCCTGGATCCGAGTCCTGCCTCACCACCAACTGGACATGCTTTGCAGGCCAATCGCTTTGACTCTTTGACCCTCAGTGGATGTCCGTCTATGGGCCTCACTGGTGGCTCAGATGGGAAAGAATCTGCCGGCAACGCACGGGTCATCAAGACTAACGCTCATCGAGACTAAGGTTCATCCACACCCTGTTTCGATTCCTCCGTCGGGAAGGTCCACGGGGCCGCAAAGAGTCAGACATGACTGAGCAACTAACTCTTTCACTTTCATTGTCATGTATATATTACTTTGTTGTTGTTCAGTCGCTCACATGATAAATGGAATACACTATGTAAGTGGTATTTATACAACAATCATTTTTGTACATTTGATATTAAATTCTGTATTGCTCAAAGTTGGTTTAATGGCAACTTGTTAAGGCATAATTGTGTGAAAATTATGTCTTCCTTTTCCTTCAACAAACATTTGTGGATTGCTTATACCTACTGTGGGATAGTTCCTAAAAAGTTATAAAAAAATAAAATANACACAGACACACACACACACACACACACTGGTCCATGAGAGAGTCTCAGAAGCTGCTGCTTATTCTGTGAGATGCCTCCCAACCAACAGGCTGTGTCTCACCCTTCTACTCTGAACTGAGGTTCATCCAAGACTCGGGAGTTTGCCAATGGACTTGACCGTAGGTCCCGTCTTGTCCAACCTCCACGTCTTACAGGCGAGCTAACTGAGACCCCTGGGGCCGGAAATGACTCTCCTAAGGTCATGCAGTGCTTTGGTGTCAGAGAAAGTTCCAGAACCCAGGTGCCCTGGTGCCAGCCCCATGGCCTCCCCACCATTAAAGCCAAACTACTGTGCCATCACCCCACCTGTCAGTCACTTCTCAGCAGTCAGGCCCCTGGAAGCGCTCTCAATGGAGAACTTAGAAAAACTCCTGCTCTAGCCCACCCCACGTGATGTCTACTGGCCATGCCCGCTGTCCCAAAGTGGACAGGCGGCTGCTGGCACAGGGCTCCCCAGCCATCTCCCCTCCAGCCACGTCCAGCCAACCAGGTGGGCACCTGAACCGGTTGGGGCACCCCGCCTGAGACCCTCAGTTCCCAAGGTCCCTGGCCCAGGCCAGGATCAGGCTCAGCAGGTGGAAGGAACCCTCCCAGCCAGCCCTGCCCCAACGCCCCTCTCGACAGTGAGCCCTCTGATATCAGCCCCCTTCCCACAGTCCCGCCTCCTCTGGCCCTGGGAGACCCAGTCACTCAGTCCTTCTCTCTGGAAAATGAGCAATGTCCTGCCCTCCTCCACAGGGGCCTCCAAGTCCTGCCTGAGACCACAGCCTTCCATTTAGAGCCGCCCCCACCCTCCTGGGAGTGTGTGGCCATCAGGAGCCCCAGTGCCAGGGCAGCTGGGCATTCCTCTCCCTGGCTTTGCCCTGTCTGCTAAATATACATCTAGGAGGAGTCTGGGAGGGAAACGCCACAGACCTTGTTAACTCTTTCACTTCTGGCAGCCATGGAGAGAGTTGGGGGGTGGGAGGAGGGGCGCAGCAGGGCCAGGTCAGCAAACCGGTGGAAGGGATGCCCAAGCCTGGAGGAGCCCTTGCCCAGCCTCAGCGGGAGGTGTGGGAGGCCCCAGCCGATCCCTCAGGCCGGGCCAGGGGGATGGGACCTGGGGTCAGAGGTCGGGGGTGACCGTGGGAAGGGGACCAATGGTGTCCTCATCACCCCCTCCCCGCCCCCGCCCAGAGGACCCCGAGGTGGAGGGCAGGTGGGGGCCCTGGGCGGGAAACCCCCTGATGGCCACGAGGCGGAGTCAGGCCCGCAGCGCTTTCTCCAGGGGCACCTAGACAGTGGCCTGAGCTCCCTTTCCAGGAGAAGGTGAGGGAGGGCCAGGTGGCGGCCCAGCTCCCCGGGGGCGCCCCCTTTCCGGCTCCTTGAGGGGAGATGTGATCAGACAGGAGGAGGCTCTGGACGAGCCCCCAACCCCTTCCCTTCTTCCCTCCCCTGCGGGCGCCCCTCGGCCAGGCCTGCCTTCCTGCCCCCTCCCTTCATCCTGGCCGTGTGGGGCTGAAGCCGAGGCTCACGCTCCCTGAGTGGGCACCGTGCCCGGGGCAGGAGCTGCTGGGGGAGCCTGGGGCCCTAGAGGCACTGACCGAGGCCCTGCGGCTGCGGAGCCGGGGTAGGCCGGTGCCCACCGCGGGGAGGGCAGGCAGCCGGTGTGGGATCAGCGGGAGGGGCTGCCGGACCAGGCGGGAGGGACCAGGATGAGGACCGGGCCCTTCGCACGCTGCCCCGCGCAGCAAGCCTTCCCAGCCGCCAGGAGGACCTGGGGACACCGCCCGACAGTGACGCCCGTCCGTCTCCCGGCTTGGAGGAAGGTCGTGACTCCGTGGCCTCAGCGTGGAGAAGAGTGACTAGGGGACCGGTTGAGCCCTGCTGCCCAACTGCTCC